AAAGCAAAGGAAGAGAGAAAGAAAGAGGGGAAGGAAAGGAAGAAAGCAAAGGAAGGAAGGAAGAAAAACGGTGGCAAAGACAACTTCCCAAATAAATAATGAAATAAAATAAAATAAGCTAGCTAGCTAGCTGCAGGGCGCAGGTTTCCATCCTATCCTGTCGGGATGGGGGGTGGGTGGGGGGTGTTCTACAAAAGGACCACAAAACCCATACTTTCCAAGGGCGCGGCGGGAACTCATGGGCTTTGTAGTCCGGGGCTCCCAGGCTATTACTAATTGTATGGGGGGGGCATTTTTGCAGCGAGACAGCTTCTGTCCCTGCTCCCCTTCTGCACAAAACCAGCCCCGAGCTCCCGCGGGGGTCACTCACTCGTTCGCCGGCCGGCCGCCTCCGCTTTGACCTCCTTCAGACGTGTCTCCCTTTCTTCTTCAGCCGGAGAGCCGCCTCCCCCCCTCCGCCGCGCGCGGATTGGCCGGCGGGCGCGTCACGTTGGTGCGGCCGCGCCCCGATTGGCTTTAGAGCCGTTCCCCCTCTTCCTTTTTTTTTTCCCCCTCCGGCCCCGCCTCCTTTTTCCGGGCGAGCGCTCTTTTGCAGAGCGGGAAGGTGCGGGGAGGGGAACGGGGGAGAATTTTGGGCCTCCCCGGGAGCCGTACGCCGGTCACGTGCCCTCCGAGCCGCCGCTTCCTGGAGTGGGCCGGACTTGGCTCAGCCCCGGCCACAGGCGCCTTTTTTTTTTTTTTTACGACACTTGCCGCCAAGCGCGGAAGCCGGGCTAGGCGGACCGGCGGGAGCGGTGAAAAAAGAAAAATATGTACGGGGGCGCCGAGGAGGAAGATGCCGACTTCGTGTCTCCGACGGGGGGGTGAGAGCACGGGAGGTGGGTGGGGGGCTGTGGGCGGGACCGGAAGAGGAATTAGGAACTTCCGTTCGCTTGTCATACCTGGGGGGGGGAACTTGGAGCACCCCTCTTAGGGCTTATCCTCAGTACCTCTAAGCATGTGCAGAGGGCATTTAAAAATTTCGGGGGGGGGGGGGGTCTAACAATTTGGGATTCTGAGCCCAGAGAGAGCCTCTGAGCATGTGCAGAGGGCATTTTTTAAAAATTGGGGGGGACTTGTCTAAAAAGAGTTGTGTTTCTGAGCCCAGAGAGCGCCTCTGAGCATGTGCAGGGGGCATTTTTTAAAAAATTGGGGGGGGGAGTTCTCTAAAAAGAGTTGGGGTTCTGAGCCCAGAGAGTGCCTCTGAGCATGTGCAGGGGGCATTTAAAATTCTGTATGTGTGTGTGTGTCTAACATCAGAGCTGGGTTTCTGAGTCCACAGATTGCCTCTGTGCATGTGCAGAGGGCAATTTGGAAAAACCCCCCCCCAATAATATGGGAAACCCCAGGGAACCCTCCTGGGCTCAAAGGATGCTCCTAAGCGCGTGCAGAACGGCTTTTTGAGGAAACCTGAGTTGTATTCAGGACCCATATCATGTCTTGCTGGGATCCCCCAGAAGACATTTAACGCAATTGGAAGAAGGTTGTTGCGTTCCGGCAAGAGGACAGAGTCCTTTGAGTGAAAAACTATCCTCTTCCCTTAGGGACACAACAAGCTGCGGTCTCCCCATATATTTATCCAGGGCAGGTTAGCCTTGTTTGTGTAATGTGGTTGGCATTATGGTTTGCAATTAACCCTGGTTTGTGTTTGTGGCTTGGTGAGTTGTGAGGACCCAGCCACTTTGAATAGCTTGTATTGAGCAGACTTAGTAATCTGGCTAAAGAGTGTGGCGTGAACAGAGACATTTATTTTTATATCCAATCTATCTAATATCTGCCTATCTATCATATTTTCTATCTAAATCTAATTCTCTATCTATCTATCTATCTATCTATCTATCCATCTATCCATCAATCCTATCTACCTCTATCTCTAATTGTATATCATTCTATATGTAATTCTATTTATCTTTCTAATTCTATCTGTAATTCTATCTATCTTATCTATCTCTATCTCTATGTCTTATCTCTAATTCTATCTATATCGTTCTATATGTAATTCTATATCTAATCCTATCTATCTATCTATCTATCTATCTATCTATCTATCTATCTATCTATCTAATATTTCTTAACCACCCATCTCCCTATGTTCTATCTCAAGTTGCCTTACCTTGCAAGATTATTGTCACCATAGAAGCAGCCGGGGTGGGGCATACAGATTCTGTTTCCATGGGAGAAACTGAACTGGACTTTGACAAGGGCTTCTCTTTATGATTTTTGATCCCGCTGCTTTCTGCGTTTGTTACAATGATAAGTTCAGGCATGGCGAAGCCACCCACTTTTCGGAGCGAGACGGGTGGCAAATAAATTTAAAACAGAAAATAATCAGCAAGGGTTCTCAGGCAGAGAGTTCACACATTGCACTAAGGTGTAACCTTGACAGAACTGATTTGGTCACTGATACCCATTATGGCTGGTCAATCATAGATTATTGCTAGGCGTGGCTTGTGAAGGCAACCATTTGTAACTCAGTAAAACCACAGCCCAGGACGGCATTTAATGGTTTAATGTGTTGTGTGAGGCCTGACAGTTGTATTCTGGACATCTCGAGGGTGCCAGGTTGTAGAGAGTTGTTTTAGTAAACAACAAATCCTAGGTTCTTGTTTACAAAACCGAGGCGGTAATTGGTTAAATAAACCTTAATGGTGTTTCTTGTGTCGGTTGTATCATTTTTACAGAGGACAATTTTTTTTCCTGCATCATGGATGACCCATCTATTTCCCCAAATTAATGATGTAAACAGGCATAATAAGTGTCAGAGATCCTTCTTGGTAATTGTGTGGTCTGTTCCACTAAAGAGGCTGGTGGGGAAATTAATTATCTTGTCTCTGAATGTTGCAAGAATGTGCTTAGTTAAGCAAGCCGGCTTGCAAGATTGTGCAATTAAAGGAGATTGTCCAGGTCAAAGGCTTGGCCGGAAAGAAGCTTGTATTGATTAGATTCGTGTTTGTGACTCCGCTCACTTTGGAACTATGAGGCAGTGGGTTGGAGATATCCCTGCCTGTCATATTTACCTGCATAACTCACATTATTCCAGGTTAAGCAGCATGCGGAGCACGGATAAAGAATAAAATATTAAGCCAAAGCAATGAAAGGCATCGGAGAAAGCATTAAAACTTAGCTGCACAAATCACCCTTCTCTGCATGTCATTCCATGCTTTCCACCCCAAATTGGTTGAGGGGGAGGAACAGGATCGTAGTTTGCTTATACAGGCTTAAGGTAAAAAAACAAGGATCTGGTTTTGCTTGCAGCCAAACATGTCAGAACTGAGTGGCGTTTGTCCTTAAGCTTGCTTGGAAATATGTGGCGTGCATATGACGAAGGGTGATGACCTCTTCTATACAGTACCTTCTCTGTTTTACTGAAAAGCGTCACGTGGAAAAACATTTCCTTCCAGTCCGGGTCCAATAAATAGAATAACAGAGTTGGAAGGGACCTTAACCCAATCCTTAATTTAATTCCCGTGTCATTGGCAAGAGATATAAACTTGGAAAAGTTTATAACTAACTCTACAATACTGGTGCCGAAAAAACCCAGGATGGGAAGGTCAGGAGGAAATGTCATAACAGGGAAACTCCACAGTTGCACTGCTGTAATCAGCGGAGCTTGGATTTGCAAAAGGAAAAATAAGGATTTTGCAACCATTGGGTGGTTTCCAACACAGAAAGATAGACAGACGTGAAGGTAGTTCAGAATCGGGGTGCCCAGCCTCGCTTTTGAGATAAGCTGGGACTACAAGTCCCAGAGTTGCTTTGGGCTTTGTTGTGTGGACTTCTTGCACTTTTCAATTTGGGGAAAATTAGTGTTTGCCACCTTTTGTTCTCTCCCTCCCTCTCTCTTTCTCCCTTTCCCTCCCTCTCTTTCTCTTCCCCCCTCCCTCCCTCTCGCTTTCTCCCTCCCTCCCTCCTTCCCTCCCTCTCTTTCCCTCTTCCTCTCTTTCTCCCTCTCTCCTTCTCTCTCTCTTTCTCCCTCTCCCCCTTCTCTCTCCTCTTCAACTTTGGTGTCAAATATCCTAGATAGATAGATGGATGGATGGATGGATAGGTAGGTAGGTAGGTAGGTAGATAGGTAGATAGATAGATAGATAGATAGATAGATAGATAGATAGATAGATAGATAAATATACATAAAATATCCTTTTAGATGAGGAGGAATGGGGCTGACAGGAGAGAAGGAAGGCCTGGAATTCCTCTCTCTCGGCGAATGTATTGGAAGACTTGGCTGCCCTGGAATTCTGCGAATCGTAGCCCAGAAAAAGTCTGCAGAATCGTAACGTTAAGAAACGCTTGGACAAGGTATCCAGGATAGCTGCAAAGCTTGTTCCTTTTGATTCAGCTTGGCTTCCTTTTTCTCTTCCCCCTCTGTCCTCCCATCCAGAGCCGGCTAAACCAATGAGAGCCATGTGATGGGCCAGCTTTTTCGGGCCCGCAATCACGGGACGAATCACTTCCCTTAATTTCATGCTCCAGAAGAGGAAGGAGATAATAGATGGTGTTTCCTTGAGTCGAAAGCCTTAAACTTTAATTGGAAACGACTGTCCTGTATCTCCATGGATAAAAAGCCCTGTGGCTTTTATGGATTAACAAAGTGCTTATTGTTATTGTTGTTTAAAATGTGTCTTAGCATGCAGTGCAATTTTAAGTACCATCTCTTTTTTAAAAAAAAAAATTCACCTGGCTATAGGCAGCCTCTTCCTCTGGTCTCGTTCCACAAAAGTCCATTCACCGTTGGACTTTGTGAATCAGTTCCCCCTGGATTTGAACTCCTCTTAAAAGCGGGGTGCCCAGAATTGGTCTCGGGGACTTACAAGAGGGTGTAACCAGAACAGATCTTTCAAGCATTCGTGTACTGACCAATAGAGGAGAATATCCATAGCTCAGGGTTGAAATGAGGGTCTTTGGTGCTCTCTGACCTGGCTTGTTTTCTTGCAGACGTTTCATGACCCAACTAGGTAACAGCTTCAGGGCTAAATGGAGTCGGGTTTGTGGAGAAGAGGAGGAAGAGGAGAAGGAGGATGATTATGGAGTCCTTGGGGGTCTCTGAACTTGGTTGCTTTCTTGCAGACTTTTCATGATCCAACTAGGTAACAGTATCAGTGCTAGAAGGGAGTGGGGGGGTTTGTGGAGAAGAGGAAGTGGGGGAAAATTGTAAGGTCCTTGGTACTCTGAGTTTCTTTTCTTGTAGACGTTTCATTACCCAACTAGGTAACATTATCCATGTCGTTTTGTTCTCAGTTTATATTCTAGTGTCTTTCCCTGTCTGGGTGGGTGGCTGGGCAGTCTGAGAGATTCTTTGGTTGGGCTGTTTGCTTATTTCTTGGCTGAAGTTAACCTTGGAGTTAATCTACGCTGACCCGGGTTCTGATTGCTGGTGCGGAGTGCTGGAGTGGTTTTTTTTTCCCGCTTCTCTTTTGGCCTGGTGGATTGTCCCTTTTGCACAATCTCGAGGTGTTGTTAATGTTTGCATGTCCATGGGTGGCTG